GAATACGTTCAACACACGCTCGGGACTCGGCACGGGAGATCACGTGATGCAGAATAGGCGGGGGAGTTTAGCACCTCAGGCATAAAGGCCAACATTTCAGCAAAAGAGCCATCTACTAACCAACCATGGTGGACCATAGTGGACCCTTCATTGTGCCCTTTACGCCTATATCAAAAGAGAAAGGAGATCTGTGAAAATTAGCGGTCATGTGTGTGCAATCTTTCGCTCGGCCCAATTTTCAGTAGACACCTTGTCCATACCCAACTCAGACCCTCTCCGCCAATAGCTCAAGTGAAATAGTTAGTTCAACACCAAGTGACTATCAGCTCCTTCAGACCGGCCTAGAGTGCTATTAAGGCCGTAGGCAAATTCGTCCCTGAGATTTGTCAACGTTTTATAACTTTCCCATGTGCTTCAGGCATATGTTTCAGCCAAATAATTCCTCATACCTTTGAACCGTTACAGTCTAGCAAAACTGATCAGGGTATTGTGGATATTTAAACCTTGAGATGTCCCAGGGGGCTTTGGGCCAGACAACGCAATTCAACTTCCGCAATTGATCAGATTTGGAAGTTGGAAACACAATTCTTGTAAACAATGATCATAGCTATTGAACACAGGGCTGGATGAAGAGTTACTTGACAAGTTATTTCTGTGAGATCCCCAAGGTTCCAGGCACATATGGATCTTCTTGCACGTCGAATCAAAGCCGTGTTTGATATGTGGTTCCTTGGTACACCTTACGCATTTCCATTTCGGACAAAAATATGGAAGATTTCAAAATCCTGGAGGGAAAGAAGGAGATTGTTGCAATTGGGGCGTTCTTCAGCGAGAGATTTTTGGCAACATTTATGATTATTTTTTGGGTTTCGACAAAGGAGAATGATTCCCAGTTCACGATACAGATGAGGCGAAAGCCCCTACACGGTCTTCGTGGCGTCGCTTTTTTCGCATCTCATTGACGGGTTTAGTTATGCAAAAGCGAAAGCCTCTATTTGGAAGCCTCTGGTGATCTTACTTCACAGAGAATTGAGTATTTTTACTAGGAACGGGCTTAGGAAAACATTATTGGCCTAGATGATTATCAAAATAGTATGGGGCTCAGGATCGTCCAGGTCCAAAGCAATACACATTTTGCATTTCGCTGATTGAAACACAGGACTGGCCTCCGAAGTAAATGCATCTTGCATGGCTCCGTGTTCAACTATCGGAGAAGCGAGTGTGGTTGTCAATCTGGCGAATGAAGATTCTTATAGCACTATGTTGATGGATAATGGCAACACCAGATGTAATAATATAGCGTTGTAGATAAAATCCCGACATTTTAAACTCAGCGGGTTCCGCCTATAGTTGCCACTGCATCTTAATAGAGTTGTTGTTCTCCACTCGTTCCATCGTTATCAGCGCGGCTTCCCTGACCCCCCTCTTTTCCTCGCAATTCACCCCGTCGGATCTCTCTAGCATCCTTCCATTGTCGATTCCACGATGCCGCCAGATCGACAGACCCGCACCCAGCGCATAGTCCGCGTGCGCACCGGCTGCTGGTCTTGCAGGCGCCGCAAGAAGAAGTGCGACGAAGTCCGCCCCATCTGTGGTGGGTGCACGCGCAATGACCTAAGCTGTCTATGGCCCACTACTGTACCTGGGAAAAGGGGATCTAGGCCATCTGAAGAAATGCAAGGCTTTGCTGCCGATGGACAGGAGTCTGATATTCTTCAAGGCGTCGATGACATTGATGCAACTGATGCAATTGAGATGCCTAGCGCCCCATCCGCGAGGCGACAATCCGCCACTTCCTTCATCCCTAATCAATCTCTCGACACTGACGACCAGCCGGACGAGACCGCCTCACCAAATTTCGCTGACCGCCGCACTTCAATCGCTAGCTATTCAAGTCACAGCGATGGAGAACTCAGTTCTTCAATGACTGTGGGGAATGTCTTACCCCGGAATTTGTCTATGTTACCTGGCTATGACTCTGAGTCTTATCAGCTTCTGAGCCACTACTTGGCCACTACAGCGGACTGCATGGCCAACGGCTCGACACCTATCAATCCATTCTTAGTCCAGATTGTGCCACTTGCGTTCACCAGCGACCTGCTCTTGCAATTAGTGCTCACTCAAAGTGCAGCACATCGCGCATTCCGACATCGAGACGAGTCTGATGCTATTGCCCATAGTCACTACACCAAGGCTCTTCAGCTTTTTCGGCGTGGCGTGACAGAATTTATCGACGGCAAGGAATCCAATCCGTTGATGCTTCTAGTGGGAGCTCTCGTGATGTGTTTTACTGAGGTATGGCGCATTAACCGCGATTTTGTCGACATGAATTGCTGACAGTCCAACAGACAGCCAAAGGGGATGTGAATGGGACTATTTTTGACCATCTGTCGGCAGCCCACTCGCTTTTGGTTAAGCTTCTCGAACAAAGCGATGCTGCAGTCCCCCGAGATCTTAAAGATTTCGTAATCGAATATTACACATACACAGCGACCGTGAGCATGATTTCAATTGATGCTCGCTTTAGTGGACAACTCTTCCTCAACTTTGACCTCGAACAACGTGCTCGCCAGCTTCTCGCTTCACAGTATGTGGGGAATTTGTGCGGCTGTTGGCTAGAGCTTTTGCTGTTGATTCCGTGCATTTTTGATCTCGGCCGACAGTGGATGATGGAAGATGCACAGGCTCCTGTGCCAACCGCAGATGACATTGCCATGTTTGCATCCTTGCAAGCTCAGATCCTGCGCTGGTCACCATATCCTTCCGTCACGCCAGAAGTCCATCTAGCTGGCCTCATTTTCCAACAAGCGATGCTTGCCTATCTCTACATGTCATTGCAAGGATTTCGATACACACCTGACGGAATGTACCAAGGACTAATAAACGCCGCTGCAACCGAAGCAATGGTTTACTTGGATGAATTGTCGCCTACTGTTCGCATAAATTCTGGTTTATGTTGGCCGATCGCGGTAGTTGGGTCGTGTCTTACGGACTCGAAGCAGCAGGACTGTCTCAAGCGAAGGCTGGATGTCATGGTTGACAAGTTTGGCCTTGGTAATATGCAGCGGACTCTACTTCTACTTGAAGCCATGTGGCAACTACCAGCAGCTGAATCCGGGCCATGGAATATTTGCCAAGCGATGCAGCAAAACCAAATCTGGATCTCGTTTGCCTGATTAAAGCAGGATTCCTGGATGGAATTATATACAAAAAACATCAGATATCCCCGATCTATGACTGGGCCAAATTTTTCGGAGCCTGAGTCGCTGGTCCCTCCGGCGTCACATACGCCTTGGTCAATCCACCATCTACAACAAAGTCGGCTGCATTGACGAAGCTGCTCTCATCACTAGCAAGGAAGATGACGGCATGGGCTTGCTCAATCGCTTCTCCAAATCGACCCGTGGGGAAATGCACCTCACGTCGGAATCGCTTCTCCTTGTCGTCCCCGAGCCAGTCCTGGAGAAGAGGAGTACTGCAATTTTATCAGTGTCACGTCTTTTTCCGAATCCGATGGTCACCTACTTGAGCGGGGCAGGGCAGAGAGAGTTGAAGCGGAATCCTGCGATGGTTTACGTCAGCATTGTCCCTATACGCGAGTCCACACCTGGAATCCTACCTTCTCGCGCGTGCACAATAGCCAACTCCCGCGTCATGGCCAACACTGCGCCTTTACTCGCGGTGTATGCCAACTGCGGTGTGGCAGCTCCAACCAATGCAACCATACTGGCTGTGTTGATAACACTCCCGCGCTTCTTCCCGTGTTTTCGAAAGCTGCGCACAGCATGCTTGGATCCGAACCACACTCCCTTGACATTGATATTCATTGTCCGATCCCAAATCTCCTCGGGGCATTCCTCCGAGTCTCCGTCCCGGGGATGCATGATTCCTGCATTGTTGAACATGACGTCCAACCCACCCCATGAATCTATGTGTGCAACTGCGGCCTCAATGTGTGACTCGTTCGAGACATCCACGACCTTGGTCTCGACCTTCCCGGTACGGGAAGCTGGTGGGACGATCTCATTCACCTTCTTAAGGGCCGTGCTGAGTCCTGCGTCACTGATGTCGGCCATCAGGACTGAGGCGCCTTCACGGAGCATGAGAATTGTGGTTTCGAGCCCGATGCCACTGATTACTCACTATTAGGCTCGTCCCCTTGAATTATGTGGGATGGGGGACGACATACCCAGCTGCGCCAGTGACAATGGCGTTCTTGTCTGCGAGACGTCCGACCATTTTTTTCAAATGTGTTATGGATCTGTAAAGTTTGTAGATTGTATTGGGTAGTTCGAAGAATGGATTTGATGATAGACTGGCAATGGAAAGACAGGAAAGCAGTGTCTTGATTAAATATTTTGCTATCTACCCCATGACCATCTCTCCTTTCCAACCCCACCGAGAATCTTTCGATAGCCAAGCTCGGTCCGACTACAAGCTGTACCGCCTTGGCTAGCATTATGTTTCTCCACACGAGCAAACGATCGCGGTCTTAGGCGCTGACAGCCTAGGAGTTTTTCTCTGTCACTCTACAACCCGAACGCGGTCTATATCCGGCGGTACAGTACTTTTCTTATCTATTAGTGCGGGGCATGAGGGGAGGATAATTGAATATTGTGTGATTGTAGCTGGGCCCGACTTTCTGAAGAGCTGGTGTCTTACCGGGTCCAGCGCGGTCCGGGACCGCGATGATGTGGGTCCCACAGGATTCAGTCAGTATCCTGCAGTACCTGGTGACTGTCGGCAAAGATGGTTACCAGATCATGAAAATTGTAACAATAGCAACGCGTGGAATTACTCAACCCTACAATTTGTATATTCAGTCGCCCTTCAGATACCTGTGTAACAGGTGATCTAAATACGCTGTCCGAGTCACTGGATGAGCTGATGGAGATTCAATTGAGCTTTCGCCATTATATACTGCTGAACACAAGCGACAATCTCATTCAAATCAAGCATTAAGAAATAATTTGCACCTCCCAAGTTACAACATAGTGCATTTATGCAGAGGCTTCCTTAATATGGTAACTTTTCAGCTTCACGAATCCATCAAATCCCCGCGGCCCGAGGGTACATCCCAAACCAGATGTCTTCCAACCTGTCCAAGCAAGATCCTATTTCACAGAATGTTAGCTTCAAGCAATAATTGTAATGTATCATAATGTCTCTTACCGGGCTTGGATAGTCACAGCGGTTGATGAACACTGTTCCGGCCTCAATCCGGTCAATAAGCTCTTCTCCCACGGCAATATCCTTCGTCCACACACTAGCTGTCAGTCCGTAGTCACTGTCGTTCATTAAAGCAACAGCCTCATCGTCACTGGCCACTTTCATAATCGGCATAACAGGACCAAATGTTTCTTCCTTCAAAGTAAGCATTTCGTGATTGACATTGGTCAGAACAATCGGAGCGACATAGTTTCCTTTCTGATTGGACAATGCTTTGGCCAGATGGAAACTCGAGTTTTCTGGAGTAGAGTCTGTCGCTCCCTTGGCCAGGGCGTCATCGACATGCTCCTTGATCTTTCTCACTGCTGCCTGGGAAATAACTGGGCCAGTGGTTGTTGTCTCATCGTAAGGGTCACCGAGCTTGTACCTATAGGAGTCATTAGCGAAACCGACTTTCAAGAATGAAGAGGAACGCACGACTTCAACTCATCCTGTACTGCTCGGACAAATTCATCGTAGACATTCGCATGCACGTAGACCCGCTCGATAGAACAGCAACTTTGTCCAGAATTGAAAATAGCGCCATCAACCAGCTGTTCTGCGACGTGTTTGATGTCCACGTCTGCGCGCACATAGGCAGGATCATTTCCACCCAGTTCAAGGTTTACCGGCTTAATGTGGCGGGCAGTTGCCTCGCGCAGGCGTATTCCGCCTGTTGTCGAGCCGGTAAATGAGACAGACTGGATGTCAGGTATTTGGGAAATCTGATCCAAAATATCAAGACTTCCAACATGAATGATCTGGAGTACATGAGCTGGGAGCCCTGCCTCCGAGAAAATCTCAAGCAACCGGTCCCCAAACAATGGGGTCTGCGGCGATGGACGGAGAATAACGGTATTGCCTGCCAACAAAGCAGGAATGAGACCATTGACAGTGGTCAAGTATGGGTACTATGCTAATGATCAACAACCATTTCCCTTCCCCTAGTGTTAAAGGATGCTTACATTCCATGCACCTGCAATAAGCGTCGGCCCTACAGGCACACGTTTGACCATGCGCCGGAAACCAGCTTCAGGGCGACCGGGCAAATCTGCCAGACTCTCTTCGGCGATATCGAGCAGGTACTCAGCACGGAGACGAGCAGTCTTAATTTCGACGCCACAGTACCTGATCGGTCGGCCCATCTGCGCAGTCAGCTCCCTGGCAAGGTCATCTTTTCGCTTGTCAATTATGTCCAGCGCCCGGGATACAATTGCTTTGCGCTGGTTCAGAGGCTCAGCCCGCCACGACTGAAACGCACTTTTAGATGCGCGGGCGACTTGGACGGCTTCCTCCAAAGAGGTGCCTGGCTGGTCGTAGATGACTTCGTGAGTCGACGGACAGATGGTACGAATGTGGTTCGACATGTTGTGCAGTTGATGATTTCACGGTCGAAGGATTTAGTTAAAGTGCTGTGTTGGGGTAGTGGAAGTGGGCGTGCTGAGCGGACTTTATAGACTATGTGGGGGCTCTCAGCGCGGTCATTGTTTCCACGCGCTAGGACTCGCTCATTTGTTTTACCCAACTCTTGGAGATAAACTCGTGTACCATATTTTTACAATTCAGGCCTCATTTATTTCGAATATTTAGCAATTGTCTAATTCGCTGCTCATTGCAGAAGGAATTTACAGATAGCTTTCCCTACCAGACTCCCATCATGCGGCTTTCCAGCTCTGGCCTGTCCGTCTTGAAATAGACTGTCATCAAAAACCTTTTGTTTGTATCGCGTCTCCAGTACTCGAGACATGATGAACTCATTGAACTCGGGATGGCCTTGAACCGTCAAGGCTTTCATAGGGATATACAACCCTTGGACACCACAACGAAGACTACTCCCGAGATTCACACATCCTTTGGGCACATCGTGAACGATATCACGATGCATCTGCTGCAAGCTCTTAACAATAATTAGCTCACAGACCCAATTGTTCAGACGAACATTGGACTTACTATTGTATCTTTCTCAAACAGATATTTCCCAACATCAGTTAGGCTGATTTCATCAACTGATATCTCCCACCCTGCCGTACTTCTCCCCACCCGCGCCCCCAAGGCCCGCGCTAAGATTTGATGCCCAAAGCAGATTCCGATCAAAGGCTTTTGCTGATGCTGGAAAACATCGCGAACGTAGTTGGTGAGACTAACTATCCACGGAGCATTGGAAAAAGCGTCATGTTCTAGTGAAGTTAGAAGATTTGTGATGTATAAACCAAGCTTTCTACTGACATACTGCTTCCAGTAAGGAGAAGGGCATCGAAATCGGCAACCGCAGGATAAACTGGATTATCCACCACGTTCCACTTGCTGGTGCGCAAGGTTATGTTGGCAGCACAGTCTGGAAGTGAATTGAGCCCCTCTTGTAGCAAACCATTGAATAAATCCCCGTACGTTCCATATCGGGCTTTCACTGAATCAATCGGAGTATCGCATTCGAGGACAGCGACGCGAAGTGTGCGTGTCATTTTGATTGCTGATCAAGTTCAAGCCAGTCAAGTCACTAACTGACGGATAACAAATGTCCAAGTCTCATATGTGTGTCTATTTGCCCCGCCATTTTATGGATAATCGTGATCCATCGCGGCTGTGGTATGCTGAGTGGATAGCCGCGATGGGCCCCACCATCGCGGACCGCGGGAGTGCCCGTCGCTTGAAGCAAATATTACCCGACGGCAGAGGATCGTCTTCTTCGCAAAGCATTGTGGACAAGTTATTAACTGAACCGAGAATATACAGTGCGCGGTAGCGCTCAAAGTCTACCGCGCCCGATACCGGTGCCCGTGGGCTGTCGACTTTCGAGAAAGGGAAGCAGGGATAGATGACCCGCACCATGGGCTATCATAAAACGGAGCACTTATGCGCCAAAATGGATCTGTTACTTTAGTTTTGCTCCCTTAATTTTCCAACTTCCCTGAACAACCATCTATGCTTCGTACATAATGATAACTCCGACAATGATCACTCTCGAGACTCTCCCCAATTTGCTTGCGGATGACATCAAAGTCAAGGTCGCCGGCATCGACAGTGATGGCGTCCTACGAGGAAAGGTCATGTCAAAGGAAAAGTTCTTGGGCATAATGAAAAACGGTTTTGGATTTAGCTCCGCTGTGTTCGGCTGGGATATGCATGACATGCTATGGACGACAGATGCTCGAGTCGCGCCTCCAGAGTCGGGATATGCGGACTTTCTAGCTGTTCCGGACCTGAATTCATTTCGTCGCCTTCCATGGGAAGAGAACATTCCTTTTTTTCTGGTCCGGTTTCTCAACGGCGGAAAGCCCGTTTCGGCGGACGGGAGGAGCATGTTGAAGAGCATCTGTGACCGGCTCGCAGAGAGCGGATGCCAGGCTTTGGCAGGAGGTAGGTCTCGTATCTTCATTGGATAAGTCTAATTTATTTATAACGCGGTACAGTCGAACTCGAATTCATGAACTTTCAGACTCCATCCGAAGACGGATATGGTAGTTCTGTGCCACAACACCCTAACCTCGCTGCTTTCCTTGAGAAGAACGCCCCTAGCGCTCTGCGGCCGTTGACTCAGGGCATGTTTTGCTACAGCTCAACACGTCCGGTTGCCAATAAGAAATACTTCTATGACATCTTCAATACCTGTGCTCAGATCAATTGTGGAATCGAGGGATGGCACACTGAGGGTGGGCCCGGCGTATATGAAGCGGTATATTATTTGTTTCCAGCTGGAATGGTTCCTATCTAACTAATATTATAGGCACTAAAAGTGTGCGAAGTTAGCGAGATGGCTGATAAGGTTGCCATGTTCAAGTGAGCATTCTCCCAAATACCTTGGAGCAAAAATTAATCTTATTCCAGATTCCTCACCAAATCTCTTGGAGTTGACCATGGAGTCACGCCGTGCTTCATGGCGAAACCCATGCAGGGGATGCCTGGTAGCTCTGGTCACATCCACATCTCACTTACCGACAACCATGGTCAGAATCTCTTCGCGAGAGAGACACCAGAAGAGAATCCTCGGTGGGCCGACATCGCCCACCTCTCTGATACAGGCCGGCACTTCTTGGCTGGCCTGCTTGAAGCTCTACCCGATATTATGCCACTATTCGCCCCGACTGTCAACTCATACAAACGCCTGGTGGAGAACTACTGGGCCCCGGTGCACATCAGCTGGGGATTGGAGGACCGCATTGCATCGATACGCTTGATTACACCTCCAGTCTGCAAGCCCGGTGCCACGCGCCTTGAAGTCCGTATCCCCGGCGCGGATCTGCATCCGCACTTTGCACTTAGTGCTGTCCTTTCCGCAGGCTGGCGTGGTGTCCAGAAGAAACTGGAGATCAACGTACCACCTATGTCAGCGCGAAAACCGGGTGACCCACGCCCAGAACTACTTCCTAACACACTAGATCTGGCTCTAGCACGATTTTCAGCGCCGGATAGCATTTCTCGGGAGATTTTGGATGGAGAGTTTGTGAGTTTCTTTACGGCGACTAGACAGCATGAGTTGGGTCTCTGGAAGGAGGCAGTGACTGATTGGTAAGATTCACGGACCTGCTACAAATTCAATCACTGACTCTGTCACAGGGAGCTGAAGCGTTATATTGAAATTGTTTAGGAGATCTGGGGGCTATCGATCATATCGAAATTAGATATTTACCAAGACTATGATATGCCATTCACATAGTATATCTGATATATGTAAAGGACAATTTGAATTCCTCAAGGTCTTATATATTATTCGTCTGCAAACAGTTTCACAGAGATAAAAGGGACCCTGATAGCACTTCATTTTTGAGTCATCCAAAGCGAAGGACAATTCATGTTGCATATAAACAGATGGGGTATTCAGAACGATCGTAAATATTGCCCTGACAAAAAAAAGAAACAGGCTAAGTTGAACAAAACATGCATCCCCAAGATACTTTGATCTCATACTGACCATGACAAAAACTCTCCCGATGGATCGCATGGCTGATTGTATGGTTCATAGTTCTCAGCGCCTGCCGGCCGTGATGAAACCGAACGCGGCAGCAGCGAGACACATAATAAATGTCAGGAACATAAAGGCAGCATCAGCCGTCGCCGACCTGCACTGCTCCTCCAGCTTGCTCGGGCTACCGTCATATGCGCAACCAAAGGTTCCTTTGTAAGTGGTACAGCCTCCGCTAATGATAGTATTCTTCCAAAGAGTTTCCCACTCGGAGCAGTTGGTCCCGCGGAGAAGAACGGCATAGGTCTGATAGGAAAAACAAAGTCAGATATTTCTTCTTCGAAAGCAAGTTGATGGATGCCACATACAATTCCCCCAGCAAGAAGTGCAAGGGCTGCCAGCCCATCAACGGCCCAGCTGATGAGACCCTCCAGTGACTCAACAAACAGAGAAGCAATCCCCAGTAGGGCAGAAACAATACCAATACCACCAGTAAAAGCTGCATAGCCTGTTGCTGCAGGTACGGCATCTATTACTTGGTTCTTGGCCAGAGTCACCGAGAGTCCGAGGACGACAACTCCAAAGACCAACTATTAGCTTGTTAGTGAATAAAAATAGAGAAGCAGGGACACTTCTTTACTTGGAATCCTCGAATAATTGCAGAAAACAGATTCATCTTAAAGAGTTTGAATGCTCCTTCGCAGTGTGTGGTATTGGAGTAAGTGATTGTCTGCTGATACAGAGGGATGGGTAGCTGGGTGCCAATTTATCACTTAAAAAACGCCCGGCCAAATTATTTCAGCCCCTGCGAGAGCTTCCTCAATGGCTAAAAAAAAACAGCACCCAAAAAAGCCGAGTTTGATCTGCCTTGAGATGCACGAGAGGGGGCCAAATGAAATGCTGAGCCTCGCCGCTAACCGCCGCTTAGCCAATCAACGAAGACTCCTCCCGCAATGGGTTCCTGTGATCGTCAAATGGTAACAATTTTGGGGGGCCAAATACCCAAATACCTACAGGGTACTATGCAGCTCGACAAATTCAGGTTTTATTTTTGCCTCAGTCCTGCAGTTAGTCAGCCATGGCCCGTGACAACATTCACGTCTTTGCATCAAGCGTGACTTCAAGGTTATTTTTAGCCATACTATTCCAATTTGTATTACTCTTTCCCAAGAGAGATGGCAGGGGAATCACCTAGATGGCGCCCGTCAACCGACATCATAATAGCCTCTGCTTCCAACAAGAACTGGTGATGAACCACTTTCCTCGTCTTCGTTTGTGTGCATACATTTTATGGGCGCTCTACACACGACCCTCCTACGTGACGAAACCTGACCCTAGTCAAAGAACAATTATTTAATATTACCAAAGCTCAAATCTGCTAAAGCGATACTATCACGGTTAAGGGTCGGGAACCTGGTTGGGTTAGGGCAGAATGTGAATCCGGGAGTCGACCGACTAGACCACCTTTCTACGAAGATCTATAACTCGGCGCATTTAAATGTTTTGGAGATTTGGCAACAGTGACATCCATAAATAGCTCGTGTTCTTCATTATACAATACTGTTCTTTTGCTCCTCTCCCACAGTCACAGATATTTTGACTTGTCTACGGATGCCTTCAGATCCAGAGAATTGGCCATGAGCACTGCTGCCGACATTATCATCTTCACTGTCGCTTCCATCTGCAATCCTTTTCATCCCCCTACCCCCAATCACTGAGACTCTGTTTCTGGCTCTTGATAACGACAGAGTGTTTTCAGTATATGGTGTGCTCAGCTCATGAGTATATCTGTCCGTACTAGAGATCTGGCTCTTGATCAATCGGACGAGGGATCGGAGACAGGGTATTGATGCCGTAATGAGAACCAGATATGTTTCAATATATAACCAACGATCTAGGTTGATGGTTGCAATAGTTGGGTCTGCGTCCGTTTGTGCAAGAACATGGGTTTGTATCGTTTTTATTATAGACGCAATCATCGCACTATATAAGTAATGCCTTCTAGTTAGCTTAGACTCTGCAAGGATATACGTTCACTCACAAGATCCCCGTCCCGAGAAGAGTCATCAAACCCAGCTTGACACGCAGTTGCAAATTAAGACCCCAGAATATGTATGTCGAGAAGACCGCGAGATAAAGGTCAGTTGCTGAGTTGAATGCTAGTCCAGGGCACATCGTTAGTATACACAGATTGATCTGAGTCGCTAGCATGGACAGGATTTCTTACATCCCTGGAAGTATCCATAATATGCCTGAACTTGAGGGCTCCAACATTTCACCTTTCCAGAGTGCGCCCAAATACCAGATGCGTGTCCTGGGCATTGTAGAAAAATTATGAGGATAAAGACAAGGTTGACGATGGGTTGAAGCACGACGAGGGCCCACAAAATAACCCTGTGTGATATGCTAACACCAAGCAAACCGATAATGTAAACGATGAAAGCGACCCGCCCAAGTGTGCCACCCGCAATTCCAAAAGTCTGTGTGATGTAGTCGTACTCGATAATTTGGGAGACATCGCTCGGTTCCAGGGTTCCAACGTGGCGACCAAAGCCATGATTCACGGCCACTGTAGCCATAGTTGACCCGACAATTGCCAGAAGCTATGCAATAGTATATGGTTAATGTCTGCTTTAAGATGAGGACAGAAGATAGAAGATAACTGGAGCATTATCGGAAACAGATTGGAATAATGAAAGGGTTGCCAACCAATGCAAGAGCCGTTAGTACATCATCCCGTCCAGATTTCGCGATCCTGAATTTAGCAAAAATCCTGAGAGTGACAACAACAATAGCAATGGCTGCTAGCGCCCATATATCTCTCAGCAACTGTGGACCTGAGTCATGCTCAGAATCCGCACCCGTGGCGGGCATGGCGATGCAAGGACGACTGGGTCTCCCAAGCCCAGGGGAACAAACCGATCATTGAAGGAAGAGGAACCCACGCAGAAATAATTTTATAGTTATAATCTATCCTGATCAAAATCAAGTCATCCTAAGGAGAATGAATGTACTTCGGAGGTCTCCGCTCCTCGTGTTTGGAAAAGTGGAGCAAATAAGTTGATAAAGGCTGGTACCACTGGGGTTCATCCAAAGATCACTAGAAGCTTAATCTCTGACTGATAATAAGAGAGATCATGATTGGTTTTGTTTGAGAACTCAAAAAGATCTGATCTCCTGGTTGCGGGGAAGTCCGCTGTGATATACCCACAATAAGGGCCCCTGTCTGAGGCTGACTATCGGACAATGTTGCCGTATACTACTCAACAATCAGTAAAAGAAAGATAAGAGGACGATAGCAAGTCATTTGTTAGAGAAATAGAGAAGCATAAGTCATAATTTCATTGCCGGCATGACTTAGTACATCATTGAGTCTAGAACGTCAAGAAGGTTCGATACTGAGTCGGATAGCGTCGTCTAGGCTTTCCCCTTTGTCAATTATTACGTCTCAATAATTATGTAGATAGTTTCGCCTATTGTGTCGGACCAAAAAAGCCTAGTATTCAGGGGGTATGAATAGAGTTAGTCTTAATCGGGTAGCGGCTCATCCGTTATACATAAGAGGTAGGTCACCGCGATCAACGCCCCTTGAATTTTCCTCTCCTACGAATCATCCAATTATAATCGCCTCAACAATCCATATTGATCGTCCTGAGCACTAACTAAGGAAAGTTCGAACCAATAACTCTCCACGCCAACCGCTTACTTTGAAGCGATCACCAACCTGTTTAGCTGCATCGGCCACGAAACACGACACAATGTCAAAAGAGGAAGGAACTTTTACAGCCAACAAAGACTACGGGACTCACTGGGGCCAAAGAACTTTCTTGTATCGCAAGAATGAATTCTCCGGCTACCAGTTCTATTCGGTCATTCCTGCCGACACGCGTCTCCGAGAAATCGTTCAGCGAAAGGAGGCTTTGCGCAAGAAGCTAAAGGAAGCAGAAAAGAAACTGAAAGTTCGAGCTGATTGTATGAATAGTTGCCGATGGGGAGGGGAACTGAAAAGTCTTCACATAGAGCAACGGGGTCAAGAGCGCTGGCTCTCCGAAACGGAAGGCACGATCCCTGGATTCATACGACTGGTCTATTATTCGATAAGAACAAACCCAAGGTGGTATCTCTAGAAGGAGTTGATTGAGGATTGTGCAGAACGAGGAGGATGCTGTGGCCGCGCCTGTGGCTGCTGCGAGGAACGTGCGTCATCCGCACCCCAGGGGAGAAAAGGAGTTGGGCACTGCACGATACACTGTGCATGTTGTTCAGATGTCCACAAACTCGACATTGTTGCAGGAAAGAAGCAAAAAATTGCACAAGATCTCGACGATGCGTTCAAGAGTCGCAATCCGGACTATCTACTCAGAATAACACAAGCTTATTTCTCCCCTCGGCTTGCAGGATCTGTAACAGGCGAAAAGGAAGAGGCACCTAAAGGAAGTACGGAAAGGCTGAAGGGTGCTTTTGTCAATATGAAAGAGTGATTTTCGGATCTTAAAAAGTTCTGCCTAGCTATGTTTGGGATGTCCACCCGAGTTACTTATGGCTGACAAACACTTGGAGTTGCTTATGTTTTGATTCAGCAGTATTATTTCCATATCAATTTTTGACCCTGGTATTGACGCGTGTTGTGCTCGCATAGTAAGAAAGAAGCTTATTGTGGGCGGATTTCCGAGTGGCGTAAGAGTGTTTAGTGGAAATTCCGCCTGGAGGGAGAATAGAAGGCTGTAAATTGGAATTGGAATGTTATAAAATTTAGCACAATTGTCATTTTTGAACTTAGACAGCTGCTAATTCAACCATATACACAAAATAGCTCCTGAAACATATCAGTCAAATGGCAGAACAGGACAGGAAGGCTCGCAATAACTAGACCTAAGCAGAAGATATCAGCAGAAACAACATCACTCAACATCAGAACCAAATCCGCCAAACACCCAACCAGAGGCTCCCAGATTACAGCGTCCATACATATCACCATCCACCTGTCCATCGCCATCCAAGACAGGGCAATAGTGATTCCCTCACAGCACACAGAAGATAACCGTCACTGCTGAGCCGGGCTATCGTTGTCACCATCTCCATCCTCAACATAAGCAGTCTTCGATGGTGCGCCAGATTCAGTTTCTGTGGTCGCTCCCTCATCGTCTTTCGGAACCTGCGCATGCGACTCTTCGTACTCAGTCGTTTCTGTTGCAGTCCGCTCTGGCCCTGCAGGACGGGGATCCCGCACCACCGACTTGCCCTTCCCCTTTTGGTTTGGTAGCGATGGCGCCTCAGCTTCACTCTTAAGTTCGGCGGCCGATTCCTCCATGAGCTGCGAAGATCGCGAGCTGCGGTCCCGCTTAGCATGGGCACGCGCACGGCGAATCAGTCGATTGTGGTAGTCTTGCTGCTCAACTTCCGGATCTTCATTCAGAATCCGACGAGCGGCTTCGCGGCCAACGACAGGGAGTCGGTCAACCCCCTGGGCAGTTTTTGGAACCAATTTAGGATCAAGAAGACCGACCTGTACCAATACGCTGGCCTGATCCCAGTAGACGTGTTCCGAATAAAGTCGCCCGGCGCGTATACTGACAATACTGACCAGCATAATCTCTACGCGCCGGTTGGTCGGAGGTACTCCTGGCAACATCCATGGGATTTCCTGAGTATGCTCAAACACCGCGTACAACTCGTCGACAACCCGATCTGCTCCTGTCGTACGCGACAGCAAGCGAAGTCGCATGGAGGGCGGCAGTTTTCCAATAAAGTTGTGCTCATAGAAGCGTCGAAGGGCCTGGGCCCCAATTGCACCACTCAAAGTCGAGGCGAAAGTAATCGTCGGGGTTTTATGCTTAACGTAGCCATCCATTGTCTTGGACAAGTTGGAGGCAAAATATTTAGCTGCAATTATGCAATTAGTTGGATTCTATTTTGGCCGAATAGTGGTATTAACTTGCCTTCCTGGTGCTCTTCCCATCGCTTTTCAAGGTCTGCTTCTCTTGCGAATCCTTTTCTCAAAACATGTAGAGTCCGGGTCCAAGCCAAGCCAGCTGCCAAGTGATCAAACTCTTCCAAATCAGCTTCCGCAAATCCCGGTTGAGCATACTCATAAGTATATGCCGGATATGCCAATTCTAGACGCTCTCCCGTCCCGAGGCCCGGGTTGATGGGACGCGTCTTGCGCTTTTTCTTTCCTTGAAGACCCAGCGCAGTGGGAATAGTAGTGACATCAACCGTTTTTCCAGCCAGATGTACGAGGACGGGTAACGAGACTGGGAATCGAGACCGGGTGTCTGGGATGACACTTGGATAGTATGCGACAAGAGCGCAAAGTCGGCCAGCGTTGATAGGCTTGAGATAGTAGTCAAGGCAATAGTTGCCGGCGTCCCCGAACGCTGTGGAATGTCAGCTGCCATTTTTGCCATATTCAACTCCATGAGCAAATACCGATCACAGCGTAGTTCTCGCCCACGCCCAGTCCGTCCTTGACTGACTTCAACTGAGCCTCGTATTCCTTTCCACCACCGTTATAGGGTAGATAGAGAACATCAAATCCTTCATCTTGCCAGTTTTGAATTATCTCCGAGTCGAATTCTGCCGTCTCAGCAGTAATGCACAGCCGAGCATTGTTGGAGCCGTTGTTGTAGAGGAACCCGCTGCTCGCGCCGGGAGCGCTGATCGATATGGTGGCCATTTTCTGTTTTTTACTTCTGTGCGCGGTCAACAGGATGACAGCAGCTGCAACTGTCGAGTCTCTCCGGTTGTTGGCGCAGATAATATTCAAGAACAAAATCCAATGCGATTCAAGCGACTGTCAATGGGTGGCAGAAGAGAATCTGGGCAAGGCATGATGTCACTTCCTATCCGCCAACGTCATCGCAGCCACAATTCAAGGAACTTTTAATTTATTCTTTAATTTAGTTGTGGATATTATATTGGATAGTAATATTTATTATTAGTCCCTAGGTAGCAGTATAGCCCACTTATTATCGAATGAAATGCTAGCATAAACGCAATTTTGTTAGGGCACATAACTTGTTGCCGATCGTGAATTAAGCTATCTGTCAGTTCAACGGTTTTTTCGGGATGTGCTTGATCTATAGATTGATCAATATTCCTGATGAAGGGATGTGTTCAGGGTTAATTGTTTGTTCAAGCTCAATAATGTATGGTGTTTGCATTTCCCTTTGCTAGACAGCTTCTTGATACTTCTCTGGTTCCTCCCCAAAGAGCTTGCCTCGGTCCGCCGCAATATCAGCTACAATGCGCTACAGTCACCCACGTCGCTTGTCCCTGTGGAAGATCAACGGTCTAGAATTTCTGCGTACAAACCCTGTACCCGGAAGAGGATCGGCATGTTGCGCTTCTACATGATTGATGGATCATTGTGCTCGTTTGTTACAGCTCAGGTGGTGGCCACTGTCCTCGCAAGCTGTTTCGCGTCTAGAGTTGTGTTAGGCTTTACGGCCCTCAAGCCTATTCTGATCGCTGAATAAGAGGAGTCAAATGGGGACGAGCGCGAGATATTAATCCCGGTGGAAGATGAGGAGGAATTTGAGGATACCTGGGCTTTTTGTTGAGCGCTCACATTGCCATAATTGGCCTTATGAAAATTGTGTCGTGGCACTTAGAGCGCATAATCTCAATAGCATAGCGAATTATGACGTTGAGGACGTCTCTTTTGGGTCAATAACCTTGCCTTTCCTGCCTTGCATCCATCCCTGACCACCCAACTACCCTGCATTTCCTATGCGCGCAGCAACGTGGGGCTTGCATATCATCCGATCTATACCCCTCCCCTCATAGTGGATGTGGGGAAGATGGTCTGTCTGAGTGTCCTAGCTCATAGAGGGCTTTTATTCTGGGTTTACTTGTCCCCTTGGCGGGTCTAGCCAAGTATGCCTCCAGAGTAGCAGAATCAAAGCGAAAATTTAGAGTTACTTGCCTCGTATTCGGCATATTCAGCTAGTGGCCTAGCCTTATTATATGTACCCCAGGATTGTTTACAGAACCTGGAAAGTTAGAGGGTTAGAACCCAGACTATTACTCTAAAACACGCATATATACAGCTGAGACTGATAACATCCAATATCATGGTATACAGTCTCCACTCTGAGCGTCTTGACTAGCTCTTCCGACTCTAGAGACACGACGAGATGAGTTGCGTCCCACATGAAATGTTATTTTGAGCGGAGTTCCAAGAGAAACAAAGCCACTTTGCTACAGAATGAGGCAGTAGCTCCATGCGCCAACCCGCCAAGGTCCAAGCAGCTCCCATTCCCCGCATTTATGCCCCGTTCCCTCCCCCAGATCGTCGCGGAAAGTATCCGAGCCACATCGTCTTGTCCAAACAACCCCAGATGACCCAGCAACATCGATGCAAGCAGAGCCATTGATTGTGGGGACTAGTAACACCTCCCCCTCTCCCCTCGGGAACTTGGCTCTGCATCTCGTGAAACTCACTACTGTATTTTGCCAATGACCCGAGGCATTCGCCCACTTCCTGTCGGCTATTGTTGTAGAATGAATCAGCAGTGCCATGGCGTGAGCGTCCTGAGCGTCATGCTGGTGATTGAGTGATAAAATGGATGCATCGTCGTCATGGCTGCGTTTACATATAGCTGATACCTTGCGGGTAGAAGAGAGTCGGTTGAACCATTCCCCAAAAGAACAACATTCGCCCTATTATTATTTCTACTCCACCGCTACTTATTTCATCTATAGGGGAAAATGTCAGTCCCAGATGACAAAGCACCCTCCGTGGACCGCATCGAGGATGTTGCTCAGCACACATCCAGCATTAGTGAGGAAGATGAAGAGTTCACACTCGAAGAACAAAAGGCAATTATCCGCCGTGTGGATCGTCGGCTGGTCACCATGACAGGTCTGGCATACTGCATCTCGCTGATGGACCGTACCAACCTGAGCATGGCTGCCATCGCTGGGTAAGACAGCTCCATGCATGTTGGGCTGCTGATGGGATTGTTGACCACTCCGATTGCGATAGTATGATTGAGGATTTGAGGCTCGATGTGGGCAACCGCTATGTGAGATAACTGTGGAATTTATGAGCAGGGTCTTCTACTGCTGACAGAAGGACCAGTCCATCGTCGTCCTCATGTTCTTCGTGCCCTACGTTATCTTCCAGCCGCCGATGACCATTCTCATTCGCAAGATTGGGCCGAGGATCTTTTTGTCAATCATTATTATATCTTGGGCTGTCATTATGATTGTGAGAAACATTTCATGATGAGTTATCGAAATTGCGCTGACAAGATCCTCTATAGGGAACGGGATTTGTGAAGAACTTTGGTCAACTGGTTGGTCTGCGCGTGCTTCTCGGCGTCTTAGAGGCAGGCTATTTCCCCGGCTGCGTATACCTGTTATCTTGCTGGTATACTCGATGTAAGTGATGGCGCTATAATTGGAAGAAACACGCTCTGACACAGACCCGGCAGATGATGTGCAGAAGCGGTTCTCCGTTTTCTATCTGATTGGG